TCTCAAAATTGGAAAAAAATAAAAATAAAAAAAGACTGGGATGTGTTTCAGTACCTCTGGGTTGAAATAATAATAATAATGATAATAATAATAATAATAAAAATAAAAAATAATAATACTTAATATTCCCTCAAATCTGAACAAGTCCAAGAATCTTGAATCCAGCAAAAGTAAGCTTTAGATTTCAAGATGAAATAAAGTCCTTCCATGATAAACAAAAGTAAAAAAGAATTTATAGCTAGAAAACCAGCACTACAAAACATCCTTGGAAAAATATTCCATGAAGAGGAAAAGAAAAACAACAATGAAAATCAAAAGAGGAAGGTAGTACCCCAAAGGAAAAACAAATCAAAGAAGAAAATCAAGTCAAGTTAAATAACAAAAATAAACAAATATGGCTGGAAATACAAACCATGTCTCAATAATAACCCTGAAAGCTAATGGATTAAACTCACCAATCACAAGACATAAGCTAGCAGACTGGATTAAAAAAAAAAAAAAAAAAAAGACCCAACAAGATGCTGCCTCCAGGAGGCTCATCTGATAGAAAAAGACATACACTGACTGAAGGTGTAACGTTGGGAAAAACCATACCACTCACATGGACTGCACAAGTAAGCAGGGTTTTCCATACTCATATCAAATAAAGGAGACTTCAAGCCAAAGGAAATGAAAAGGGATAAAGATGGACATTACATATGGCTCAAGGGAACCATACACCAAGAAGATGTAACAATCATAAATATATATGCCCCAAACAATGGTGCAGCTATGTTCAAACAAACTCTTCTCAAGTTCAAGAGTCAAACTGACCACAACACAAAAATCTTGGGTGACTTTAACACACCTCTCTCACCACTGCACAGATCTTCCAAACAAAAGTTGAATAAAAAAACTATAAAACTCAATAACATAATCAATAATTTAGACTTAACTGACACATATAGAATATTTCAACCTGCATCAAACAGAAACACCTTCTTCTCACTAGCACATGGATCCTTCTCTAAAATAGAACATATACTATGCCCCAAAGCAACTCTTAGCAAATATAGAAAAGTAGACACACTACCATACATTTCATCAGATCATAATTAAATGGAATTGGGAATCAAAAAGAAAATAAAAAGTAAAAATTTCTCCATCACCTGGAGACTAAACGATAGGCTACTGAATGAACAATGCATTGAAAAAGGAATCAAGGAGGGGATTAACAATTTCTTAGGGGTAAATAAGAACATAGAAACAACCGATGGAAATCTGAGACACTATGAAAGCAGTACTAAGAGGAAAATTCATTGCATGGAGTTCATTCCTTCAAAGAAAAAAAGAATTAACAAATAAATGACCTCACACTACCTCTCAAAGCCCTAAAAAAATAGGAACAAACCAGCAGCAAAAGCAGTAGAAGGCAAAAAATAATTAAAATTAGAGCTGAAATCAATAAAATTGAAACCAAAGAAACAGTTGACAATATGGACAAAAAAAGTTGGTTCTTTGAAAAAATAAAAAAAATTGACAGACTCTTAGCCATGCTAAAAAAGAGAATGAGAGAGAGAGAGAGAACTCAAATTACCCATATACGTGATGAAAATGATAATATTACAACAGATATGACAGAAATACAGAGAATGGAAGACATTGAAGCTATCAACAAATTTCTTAAGTCATACGATCTGCCCAGATTGAATCAGGAAGACATACACAATTGAAACAGACCAATATCAAGTGATAAAATAGAAAACAGAGCTTACCAAGATTGTGCAATATGATTAAGTGGGATTCATCCTAGAGATGCAAGATTGGTTCAACTTACGCAAATCTATCAATGTAATTTATGACATCAATAGACCCAAAGATAAGAATCATATGATCATCTCAATAGATGCAGAAAAAACATTTGACAAAATACAGCACCCCTTTATGTTCAAGACACTAGAACAACTAGAGATAACAGTAACATATCTCAACATCGTAAAGGCTATCTATGCTAAGCCTCAAGACAACATCATTCTAAACAGAGAAAAATTGACGGCATTTTCTCTAAAAACTGGAACAAGACAGGGCTGCCCTCTTTCACCACTTCTATTCAACATAGTTCTTGAAATGCTGGCCAGAGCAATTAGACAAATGAAAGGAATCAAAGGATATGTATAGGAAAAGAAGAACTTAAATTGGCACTATTTGCTGATGATATGATTCTATATCTAGAAGAACCAAAAAACTCCACCAGAAAAATTCTAGAACTGGTAAATGAATTAAGCAAAGTAGCAGGACATAAAATCAACACCCATAAATCAAGGGCTTTTCTGTATATCAGTGACAAAGACTCTGAGAAGGAAATGAGAAAGACTACCCAATTCACAATATCCTCAAAAAAAAAAAAAAAAAAAACTTGAGAATCAACTTAATGAAAGAAGTAAAAGATCTATACAATGAAAACTACAAAACCATAAAGAGAGAAATCAAAGAAGACCTCAGAAGATGAAAACATCTAACTTGCTTTTGGATACGCAGAAATAATATGATCAAAATGACCATACTACCAAAAGCATTATACAGATATAATGCAATTCCCATCAAAATCCCCCAGGCATTCCTCATACAAATAGAAAAAGCAATCATGAAATTCATTTGGAAAAATAAGACATGAAGAATAGCTAAAACAATCCTTAGACTGAAGTAGGTGGCATCTCTATACCAGATCTTCAACTATACTACAGAGAAATAATAACAAAAACAGCATGGTGTTGGCACCAAAAGAGACTGCTAGACCAATGGAACAGAATAGAGGACACAGACACTAACCCAGAAAATTACAATTATCTTATATTAGACAAAGGTGCCAAAAACATGCACTGGAGAAAAAAGCATCTTCAACAAATTGTGCTAGGAAAACTGGAAATCCATAAGCAACAACATAAAATGAAATCCCTAGGTCTCACCATGCACAAAGTGCAAATCAAAATGGACCAAGGACCCAGGAATTAAACCAGAGACTCTGCATCTAATAGAAGAAAAAGTAGTCTGTAATATTCATCATGTGGGATTAGGCCCCAACTTCCTATAGCCCAAGAATTAAAACCAACAATGAATAATGGGATGGAATCAACCTAAAAAGTTTCTTCTGAGCAAAAGAAACAATTTGTGAGGTGAACAGAAAGCCTCCACCCTGGGAAAAAGTTTTTACCCCTCACACATCAGACAGAGCACTAATCTCTATTGTATATAAAGAACTCAAAAAGCTAAGCAACAAAAAAACAAATAACCCAATCAACAAATGGGCCAAGGACATGAACAGACACTTCTCAGAAGAGAATATACAATCAATCAACATGTATAAGAAAAAATGCTTATCCTCTCTAGCAATTAGAGAAATGCAAATCAAAACTTCTCTAACCTATCACCTCACTCCATTCAGAATGACAGCTATTATGAAGACAAACAACAATAAGTGTTGGTGAGGATGCGGGGGGGGGGGGGGGGGGGGGAAGGTACCCTCTTACCTTGCTGGTGGGACTGCAAATTGGTGCAGCCAATTTGGAAAGCAGTGTAGAGATTCCTTGGAAATCTGGGAATGAAACCACCATTTGACAGAGCAATCCCTCTCCTCAGACTATACCCAAAGAACTTAAAAACACCATACTACAGGGACACAGCCACATCAATGTTTATAGCAGCAAAATTCACAAGAGCTAAACTGTGGAGTCAACCTAGATGCCCTTCAGAGGATGAATGGATTAAAAAAAAAAGTGGCTTGTATACAAAATGGAATTTTAGTCAGCAATAAAAAAGAAAATAAAATCATGGCATCTGCAGGTAAATAGATGGCATTGGAGAAGATAATGCTAAGTGAAGTTAGTCAATCCCCAAAAAACAAATGCTGAATGTTTTATCTGATATAAGGAGGCTGACTCATAGGGGGTACATAGGGGGAGCATGGAAGGATTAGATGAATTCTAGATAGGGCAGAGGACTGGGAGGGAAAAGGAGGGGACAGAGGATTAGCAAGGATGGTGGAATGTGAAGGACATCATTATACAATGTACATGTATAAAGACATGAATTAGGTGTCAAAATTCTTCATACACAGAGATGAATAATTGTGTATATATGTGTAATAAGAATTGTAATGCATTCTGCTGCAATTTCTTTATCCAAAATAAATAAATAAATGGATAAATAGCAGACGGGTTTTCCCAGATGTAAATCCTTTTTTAAAAATTATTTTTAAATATTTATTTCTTTATTTATTTTTAAGTTTTCAGCAGACACAACATGCTTGTATGTGGTGCTGAGGATCGAACCCAGGCCACACGCATGCCAGGCGAGCACGCTACCGCTTGAGACACATCCCCAGCCCAGATGTAAATCCTTTTATGTCTTTGAATAAAACTGTCAAAATTAAGTACTGCCCCTGGCTTATCCACAGGATTTTCTACAGTATTTTTTTTTTTTAATACAACTGAACAAAACTAAAACATCTGAACCCTGGGTATTTCTTACTTGCATAGGATTTATTCATTTTGGCATGAATCTTTCCAAAAGAATCTTTCTAGTACTCAGAATAAACTGCAAAAATTAAAAGATTTCCCACATTTTTAACATTCATAGGGCTTCTCTCCATGAGAATTTTCATAAAAGAGAAGAAAAATAGGTGTAGAACATGAACCTGATAGAGTACAGCAAATCGTCCCCATTCAGAGTGTTTGTTTTCCAGTGAGGGAAATGGCTTTGAAGACAACAGGGAAAATGGAAAGATTTGCCATATTTTTTTCATATTTAAACACTTATTCAGCCAGATGTGGTGATGTATGCCTTTAATCCCAGAGTCTTGGGAGGCTTAGGCTGAAGGATCACAAGTTTGAGGCCAGCCTCAGCATTTTAGAACAACCCTAGGAAGCCAGCAAGTCTCTGTCTCAAAATTAAAAATATAAAAAAGAATGAGGATGTGTCTCAGTGGTAGAGGGCCACCAGACCAAATCTGCAGACAAACCTACCTCAGTACAATATTCAGCAGAGTGAGCAGTGTGTTTGAAGGGGACAAGAAATATTGATCCACCACATTTCACATTTAAAGAATTTTTCTCCAGTAAACTTCCAATATGTTGATGAGAAGAACAGTAATAACAGAAGACTTTGCCAATTGTTTTCATCAGTACAATTTCTTTGCAATATGAGTTTGTTCATGTAAGTGAAGCTGATGGGCTATAGCCAAGGTTTTCCCCCATTGTTGACATTCATAGGGCTTCTCTCCAGTATGAGTTCGTTCATGTGAGCAAACATGAGAGGACTGAGTGAAGGCTTTGCCACACTGCTTACATTGATAGGGTTTCTCTTGAGTGTGAGTCCCTTCATGTCTGTGAAAGAAAAAACAAGAAAAAGACTTTTCCACATTGTTGGTATTCATTAGGCTTCTCTTCTGCATGAATACTTCCATGTACGTGAGGTTCACTGGACGTGTCAATGGGTTCTCCACATTGTTGATATTCATAAGACTTCTCTTCAGTATGCGTTTTTGCATGTCTGTGAAGATGATGGGATTGAGCGAAGGCTTTGCCACACTGCTTACATTCATAGGGCTTCTCTCCAGTATGTGTTCTTCCATGAATCTTAAGGTGACTGGATGTAGCAAAGGCTTTTCCACATTGTTGACATTCAAAGGGCTTCTCTCCCCTATGAGTTCGTTCATGTCTGTGAAGCTGAGAAGATTCAGCAAAGGCTTTGCCACACTGTTTACATTCATAGGGCTTCCCTCCAGTATGAGTTTGTTCATGTTTGTGAAGCTGAGAAGATCTAGCAAAGGCTTTTCCACACTGCTTACACTCATAGGGCTTCACTCCAGAATGTGTTTGTTCATGGATGTGAAGGTAAGAGGCAGTACTGTAGACTTTTCCACATTGTTGACATTGATAGGGCTTTTCTCCACTATGAGTCCGTTCATGTCTGCAGAGGGAAAAAGAAGTAGTGAAGACTTTTCCACATTGTTGGCATTCATTGGGATTCTCTCCAGCATGGATTTGTTCATGTATCTGAAGGTAAGACAAAGTAGTGCAGGCTTTTCCACACTGTTGACATTCATAGGGTTTCTCTCTAGTATGTGTTCTTTCATGTCTGTGAAGTTTACAGGAGTCAGTGAAGGCTTTGCCACACTGCTTACATCCATAGGGCTTCTCCCCACTATGAGACCGCTCATGTATCTGAAGGTAGGAAGAAGAACTGAAGGCTTTCCCACATTGTTGGCATTCATAGGGCTTCTCCCCAGTATGAGTTTTTTCATGTCTGTGAAGTTTAGAGGACATAGTGAAGGCTTTGCCACACTGCTTACATTCATAGGGCTTCTCTCCAGTATGCATTCGTTCATGTCTGTGAAGTTTAGAGGACTTATTGAAGGCTTTGCCACACTGCTTACATTCATACGGCTTCTCTCCAGTATGCATTCGTTCATGTCTGTGAAGGTTAAAAGAAGTAGTGAAAACTTTTCCACATTGTTGACATTCATATGGTTTCTTTTTCGTATGAGTTTTTTTATGTGAGTGAAGGGTAGACGATAGAGCAAAAGATTTGCCACACTGCTTACATTCATAAGGCTTCTCTCCAGTATGCGTCCATTCATGTCGGTGAAGGGAAAAAGAAGTAGTGAAGACTTTTCCACATTGTTGGCATTCATTGGGCTTCTCTCCAGTATGGATTTGTTCATGTATCTGAAGGTAAGATGAAGTACTGTAGGCTTTTCCACATTGTTGACATTGATAGGGCTTCTCTCCGGTATGCGTACGTTCATGTCTGTGAAGGGAAGAAGAAGTAGTGAAGACTTTTCCACATTGTTGGCATTCATTGGTATTCTCTCCAGTATGGATTTGTTCATGTATCTGAAGGTAAGACAAAGTAGTGAAGGCTTTCCCACATTGTTGACATTTATAGGGTTTCTTTTTCATATGTGTTCTTTCATGTCTGCGAAGTATAGAGGAGTTAGTGAAGGCTTTGCCACACTGCTTACATTCATAGGGCTTCTCCCCACTATGAGTCCGCTCATGTATCTGAAGGTAGGAAGAAGTACTGAAGGCTTTCCCACATTGTTGACATTCATAGGGCTTCTCCCCAGTATGAGTTTTTTCATGTCTGTGAAGTATAGAGGAGTTAGTGAAGGCTTTGCCACACTGTTCACATTCATAGGGCTTCTCTCCAGTATGCGTCCGTTCATGTCTGTGAAGGGAAGAAGAAGTAGTGAAGAATTTTCCACATTGTTGGCATTCATTGGGCTTCTCTCCAGCATGGATTTGTTCATGTATCTGAAGGTAAGATGAAGTAGTGTAGGCTTTTCCACACTGTTGACATTGATAGGGCTTGTCTCCAGTATGCGTTCGTTCATGTCTGTCAAGGGATAAAGAAGTAGTGAAGACTTTTCCATATTGTTGGCATTCATTGGTCTCCTCATCAGTATGGATTTGTTCATGTATCTGAAGGTAAGACAAAGTAGTGTAGGCTTTTCCACATTGTTGACTTTCATAGGGTTTCTCTCTAGTATGTTTTCTCTGATGTATTCTAAATAAACTTCGGTAAGCAAAGTCTTTCCCACATATGTTACATTTGAAAAGTACTTTCCCAGTGTGAGTGATCACGTGACTGTGAAGACCTGTGGGTGAAACCAAGGTTTTACCACCTTCTTTACACTCATGGGATTTGTCTCCAGAATGAGTTCTTTCATGTTTTCTAAATAAAGTGGGGGAATGAAAGGCTTTCCCACATACCTCACATTGAAAAGCTTTACCTCCCCTATGTGTTTTTGTGTGACTTTGAACATCTGTGGGAGAAGATGAGGCTTCATCACATTGTTGACATTCATCAGGTTGCCACCCAGTATGAGAATCTTCATGCCTCTCAATGTCATTGGAACAACTGATGACTTTCCCACATACTGTACTTTCATAGGGTCCATCTCCAGTTTGTGTTAACATTTGTGTGTGAACACTTTTGAGAGAAACCAGAGATTTCCTGTATTGTTTCAATTCACATGGCTTCTCCTCACATTCTTCATGCTTGTAGCGTTCGGGTCCACAGTGAGATGTGATCTGCCTATGAGGAATGAAGGGCATATGAAGTCTTTGGCACACATAATGCAGTCACATGAATTTACTCTATTAAATTTTTTCTTTGCTTAAGAATTGGGATCTCATGACCAGCACATTATTAATACTTGATTAATTCATGATGGTGTATTTATTTAAGGTCCTAGGTTAACGTCACTTCCAACATGAGGTAAAGCCTAGGTTTTTCAAACTTGTTCAAATAGCCAGAAAATAAAGAGATTGAGAGGAAACAATGCTTTGCAACACAGCTTGCCTATGGTCATTATCCAAATAGTTATACTCACATATGCAATTTCATAATAGTTTTTGCATGTCAAGCACCTTGAATAGACTTAATATCATATATATATATATATATATTTATATATAAATATGTGTATATATATATATATATATATATATATATATATATATATAAATTTACTTCAGTTGACAATAGACTTTATTGATTTAAATGTGGTGCTGAGAAGAGAACCCAGTGCCTCAAGCATGCAAGGCAAGCTCTCTACCACTGAGCCACAACCCCAGTCCCAGTGAAGTATATATTTCTGGTAAAAAATCTTATAAGAATAAATACATTTAAAGTTGTGCAAATTTCTTGCATTGGTTTTAAAAATTATATGATATCCCCAGATTCCCTCAAGGATTCCTCTTGTGAGTACAATTACCTTAGATTGCTCCCAAAATTTTTGATCTGGATTTTCAATGTTCTTCTCATCACATTTGTTTCCTAAAATGCCAAACCAAAACATTATTTCTATTTCAAATTTCTAGGAGCTAGAAATGCTTTTCCAAATTCATGGTGCATTTTATGCTACATTAATTCACCAACTGATTGTCTTTTCATGTTCTACATAAATAAAAAAAATGAACACACATTCTCTAATTAAGTAAATACACAAATTATTACCTATAGATGCCAGGTTTCTGAGGACTTCCAGCATCACATCTCTGTAAAGGTTCTTCTGGGAAGCATCCAGCAAATCCCACTCCTCCCGCATGAAGTTCACAACCACATCCTCAAAGGTCACTGAGATCTAAAATATCCCACAAATGTGTAGTGGAGAACAGGAGAGATTTCACAGCATGAGAAATCTATACTCAACATGCATGATGTTCACATGATTCCCTGGCCTTTCGATTAATTCCACGATTTGGTCATTGAAATCTCCAGTGCATTTAATTCTTCACAGCCACTCCAACACTAGATTTGGGCCCCACACAAGGTAAATAGTAGAGTGTTGTACACCCTTCCTTTGGTGAGTTCATAGGAAGTAAGAGGGGTTCCCGGGTCACCCTTATCTTATTTGTTGATTGCATCTCTATCACCTTCTTACCAACATCCTGTGCAGTAGAGAGCTAATATCAGCACCCTCCTTATTACTTACCCTTAGAAAAGAAAGCTGACTGAGTTGGAAATTGCTGGGATCACAAAACTCAGCATTTGAGAGATCCTGCCAACCCCAGTGGCTCACTGGGCCTACACACTTAATATAGACATCATGGTATTTACTCATCTCCTGTTTCCTTCTGAAAGTCAATTGTTCCATCCTTAAAGAAGTGCCTAGAATCAGCCCTAACCCACACCCTGAGAGTATGGAGTCACTAAAGAGTTTCCCTTATAGACAACAGTTAGATAATCTTCCACACAGATTGTCACAATGTGTTCACTGGGGACTGAGCTCAACTTGTGTGATTACACTGAGGAAAACTAGAAGTTTGCAGGTGCTTTACTCCAGAACAAATTTACCCAATTAGTAATCAAGCACAATGATTAATAAACACAACAATATAATAATTTCTGGTTTTTAATGTCAAAGCAGAATGGGGTGTGTGGAAAGATGGCATGTGTCTCAGAAAGAACTCGATGACCCCAAGATGTTATCTTGCCCAAAAAACAGCCTTACAAAATTATATCGGTTTGAAAAATAGTTTTCATAACAGACAGCGGAAAATCCTTTCCCAAACCTCATGGCAACCATGAATGTCCAATGATTCTCAAACTCTTCTGAACAGCAGATGTCTCACTTAGATCATGTACAATCATGAGACACATACCACCGTTCTGCTCAAAGACACTTTGATCAAGACAGGCCACATGTACAATGGTGGTCTGTCATGAAAGAGATTCCTCGTTCCTGTAGCACAGCTGGTGAAAGGAAACCTCAGGCACAAGCACTTCCAGGGTGTGTTAAAGCAGCAGGTTTGCAGCCCAGAATCCTGAACTATCCCACGCTGACTGCTTCTGAAACAGGCCACTCCATGTGGGTCTCTAAGCAGGCTATGATTTTTGCACAGTGTGGAACAGCCCAAAGGACCACCTACCAGAACACGACCCTGCCACTCACAAAGATCCATGCTCAAGGACATAAGACACATGACATTTGAAGCAGGACAGTATCAACAGAGGTTAATAGGAGCCTGAGAGAAAGCCTTTAGTGGGCTGTCCTTCATTGCATGGACAAAGTATGAGTGACAGCAGGTGTCTTAGAGACAGATCACAATGATGGTCCACGCAAACTGAAATCTAAGTGGCAAAGGGTACTTCATCCATCTATTCTGCAGACAAATATCATTTATTATACATTTAACTGTGAAAGACTAAAACACATTTCAAAAATTTAAAAAATATATAATTACTACCTGCCCCCCAGAAAAAAGAAAGTCAAGGCTCTGACATCTCAAACAGGCTTCCATGAGACACTGAAGACCTGCCACCAATTTTCTACTGTTATTTCCAGACAACAGAAGTTGAGTTAAAACTTCCTAATTCTTTCTTTTTATATTTATTTTTTTACTTGCAGTTAAACACAATAGCTTTATCCCATTTATTTATGTGGTGCTGAGGACTGAACCCAGGATCTTGCACATGCTAGGCAAGTTCTCGACCACTGAGCCACAACCCCAACCCACCTTCTAATTCTTTATATGGCATATTTTAACATATTATCAAAATTAAATAGATAAAGAAAATATTAAATAGAAAAGAAAACTATGAAAGACTCTCATGATCATGAATGCAAAATTCCTCAACCAATACTTTACTGAATCCAAAAATAAATAAAAAGAATTATAAACACAGCCAAGAGGAAATTATTACAGCTCTGTAAGACTGATGCCAAATTTAAAACTCAGCTAACATTTTCCAGGGACCAGCATACTACTGTGGGAAGTCAAGCCCAGTGGCCCAGATCCACTCACATTAGCCTCTGCAGGGCCCAGGAACACAGGACACATAAAAGACTGAGACATAATTAAAAAACCAATTAACATTATCCATCACAACAAAAAGCTAAACAATAAATATTGATTATATCAATAGTTAAAAAAATCAAGAATAATGAAAAAACACTCAAGCTCAAAAGAACACAGTGTCTTCATAGAGAGACAGCATTATCCTCTATGCTACTGGAATCCACTGAAGAATCATGAAAAACAATGATGTGACATCAGTGTTGTCATTGTTAATAAATAGGACAATTATTATATTATTGACAGCAGGAAGCTGGGCATGGAGGCCATGCCTGTGGTCCTTGCCAATCAGGGGGCCAAGGCAGGATGATCCCAGATTTGAGTCCAGATTGGGCAATTTATGAAGACTCTGTTTCTAAATGAAAAATTAAAAGTTTTGGGAATGTAGCTCAATGGTAGAGCAGCCCTGAGTCCAACACCCAGCACCAAAATGAAAACAAAAACAAACACACACCACTTATACAGAACCAATAAAAGAGAAATACTCATATATAAATCTAACAAAAATCTGTATGACAAAAACTGCTAACTTCTAATAAAAATATCAGAGACATGGAAAATATTTGGAGATACTTTTATGTTCACAGATGGGAAGCCTCAGTTACCATCAATTCTTACCAATTTTATTTATGGATTCAATATAATCCCAATAAAAATATTTTGAGTTATGTTTTCAGTAACAAAAGATCCAGAACAACCAACACAGTAATGAACACTCAGTTCACAGGATGAACACTACCTGAGGTTAACAACTACTAAAAATCTACAATCATCAAGACACAGTGGTATTTGGCACAATATAAAAATATTCCACTGATCTTTGACAAAGGAGCAAAAGAAAATCAATGGAAAATATAGTCTCTTGGACAATGTTGCCAAAGCACTGGACATGAATTAACATGTAGAGAAAGAAAACATTCTCATTTCACAAATGTCACAGAGCTCCCAGTGGAGCCTCAGTCTCAAAGTAGGACACACAGCTGGGGCTGCAGCTCTAGCAAAGCACCTGCCTGGCAATTAGGAGGCCCAGGGTTCACTTGTCGGCACCAAAACATTGCTATACATTGTAGTACCTAATGCAAAACTCCAAACTTCACTAAAATAACAAAGAAATACAGAGAAATCTGGGCTGGAATGACAGCTTCATATGCAAAATCAAACACATGATCTGTGAGTGAAAAACTTGTAAATAGAACTTGATCAAAACGAAGTTTGTGTTTTTCAAAAGATGCCTTGAGAGAATGAGAAGACATGCTGGAGAACTGGACAAAATGTTGTCACAACACATAATGACACTGGGTTGGTATTCAACATACATGAAGAATACTCAGTAAAAAAATAAGCAACCAAGTTGGAAGTGGGAAGAAGATTAGGAAAGACACTCATTCAATAAAGAGGCACAGTTAATACATGTGTGAGAAGATATTCACCTGCATATAATTAGGAAACTTCAAAATGAACAATGAGGTGCCACCAGGTACTCAACTGGAGTGGTGAAATGCCAAACACTAAAAGCTCCAAAAGACAGTGAAAACTTAAATCAGCAAGAACCCTTCCCTGGCTCATGTGAATGGAGAGAAGAACACTGTCTCTGGAAGACAGTCACGCTCTTACAAAATAAACATGGTGCACTCTACAATTAATTCACCACACTCCCAGGTGTCTATGCAAATGAGGTGAAAATTATGCACAGAAATCTTCTCAGCAGTGACTACAGCAGCCATATCCAGAACTGCCCAAAGCTAGAAGCAAGGAAGATGCACCTTTCAATGCTGAATGGACGAGCTGCAGTTTACCCACACCAAAGAACATCACCCAGAAAGTGAGCTCTGCAGCCTGCAAAGATACAGCACCCTTAAAGGCAGACTGGTAAGTGAGAGAAGCCAGTCTGAAAGGCCAAGTGCAGTAAGATTCCAAGTCAAGAACATTCCAGAAGAGACAACATTATAGATGCACTGAAACTCTTCTGTATGACATTATTATGTAGAGTATGTGACACACAAAATCACACCACACAGAGGAGGAACCCTAAGGTAAAGGATGGATTTCAGCTGATGATAAAGTGTTGCTTCATCCACTCTCTTAATCAAATGTAGGCTACTGATTCAGTAACTAACAAGCATCCAACATCAATGCAAAATATTGAGAACAGTGTAGAGAAGGGTGTTTGATACTATATGTAATGGCTCATTAGAATTGTCAACCGCATTGGATTAAGAGATACCTGTGATTAAGAGGACTCTGGGTGTGTCCGTGAGGGTGTGTCTACAAATGATTGGCATGTGGAACAGAGAACCAAACTAGAGAACCTCCTTAGGTATAGGCAGCACCATCCAATAGGACGGTGTCTTAGGTGGAACAAAAGTTGGAAGGAGGAGGAAGCAGCAGCAGAGAAAGCCCCTTTCTTCTCCAATAGCTGCTGCAATGGCCTGAGGATATCAGACACTGCCTTCTTCACTCTCCCAAAGTGGACTCTGC